AGACTGCGGAAACGATCTCTGCACTGCTGCAGACGCACCGCTCGTGGAACGGCAACCGTCTGCAGTGTGCACACTTAATTAATCCGTTAACATGAGCACAGAAAAAATACGCACCACATACGCACTGCAAACGGAGTAACCTTCAGCATTATAATTATTTCACCCGCGCCGGACAGAGACTGAGACGGTGCCGCTGCATGTCGTGCCAAACCTCTCACGGCAGCGTGATAATCGGTTTTTTGATATCGGCCTTTTTAGAGACCGCCGATCAATCATCCCAACGGGATTATCGGCCAATAGTGATCAGTAGCCGATCAATCGGAGCACCCCTAATAATTATCATGATTTTCTTAGCTCTATTTCCCATGCAAACACAACTTTGAAATACATACTATATGCATGTGCTCTATAAATGTTTAATACCGAAACAAATCCAGCCTTACTGCATCACCGTGCATTAAATAAAACATCTGATTAATATATGACAAATACCTGCCATGAATATATTCATAATGAATTATTCAAACATTCTCCTGATGGACCCGCCGCTGTCATTTATCTCCACATACAGATCGAGCAGAACAAGTTCACTAGGAGTCCACAGACTGTGTCCAATCATCCAGCAGGCCATTCAAACGGGAGGCTAATGCACAGCAAAAAGCTTTTCCCAGCCATTTTCTCCAACAAATCTCTGACTTTAAGCCGGCAGCTGTCGGCAGACAGCCAAAGCGCTGTTTATTTGTACAAATACTGTAACAACTAAGCTGTCTGAAAATAAAGCGTTCTGCAACCCTGGAACCGTTTCTGAATGTGTCAGCGTGGTGAAAATTATTAAACCATACAGTACAGGAAAAACAAAATAATCTGCTTACTGTACTATGACGCTCCTACACTGAAAATGAATGATTCAGGAGGAAATACACATATAAGAAGGGATGAGATGGTAGAGTAGTGGACTACTCATTCAACTTCGCAGTCCATCTCTGAATTCATCCCATTTAAAGCCCCGCTGCTGCAGCCATCAAAGTGCTTTTCTAATAAATTGACCGTTTGCAACAATAAATTTCGAGACAATTACTGTCTGACTTGATATTGCCTGCTGTGAGCAACATTTCTGTTTTTATCCATAGCCTGTACATCACCATTTGTGTGACGACTATGATGCTCTTGTGCTTATAATTATCTGTTATCTATCACTTACCGTATTGAAAGGCTGCGTGCAATACATCGCTAAAAAACTAGTCTAATCCCTTAACCAGCTTAGTTATACAATATTAAGGAAGTTAAGACAATTAACCACACACAGACATCTTACCCATAAACACAGACGACTCATTAGGTCCAGAGAAGAGCCCATCCTGTCAGTGAAACTCACACACAGTCTGGTTTTGTCTCCAGCTTTCTGAAGCCTCTCCTCATGTCAGGTTGCATTCGAACACCTGAGCCTCTATTACACGACGCAGGCAGGTAATGAGGGCTCGACTTTCATGCTATTATACACACTACATTAAATATTCATACGAAACCCTCTGTGTGCATTTTGAAACACAACTTTAGGGAATTACTTCAGCCAAAAATGAAAATTCTGTTCTTAGTTACTTTATGTATTTAATATAAGCCTCTTCTGCTCATGAAAGCTGCATTTATTTGATTAAAACTGCAGTATAAACTGTAAAAATGTGAAATATTATTACATTTTAAAAGAACGGTTTTCTCTTTGAATATATTGTAAAATGTGATTTATTCAAAGCTGAATTTTCAGCATCATTACTCCAGTCTTCAGTGTCACATGATCCTTCAGAAATCATTCTAATATGCTGATTTGCTGTTCAAATATTATAACTTATTATTGGTACTCAATTATTAAAAATGGTTGTTATTATTATTATCAATGCTGAAAATATTTATATATTTGTGGTAACCAAGTAAAATTTTTTCAGGAGTCTTTGATGAACAGAAAGTTCAAAAGAACAGCATTTATTTTATATAGAAATATTTTGCCAATAAATGTCTTTACTGTCACTTTTGATGCATTTAATGTGTTCTTGACAAATAAAAGCATTCATTTCTTGTTTTTTACTTACCCTAAACTTACAAAGTAGTGCATCAATGTTTATTGTAAATGTTTCTTGAGCAGCAAATCAGCATATTAGAATGATTTCTGAAGGATCATGTGACACTGAAGACTGGAGTAATGATGCTGAAAATTCAGCTGCGCATCACAGAAATAAATTACATGTTAAACTATGTTAAAAAAGAAAACAGTTAAACAGTTAAAACTGGAATAGCGTTTGGCAATTTTAGTGTATTTTTTAGATCAAATAAATGCACCCATGGTGAGCAAAAAAGACAAAAACATTTTGTCTTTCAAAAAAGTTTTAAAAACCTTAATCCAAGACTCAAATATCATTTGCGATTGCATTTAATTTCAAGTTCTTGCACCAGTTTGCATAAAATTACTTTTGAGTGCTTCAGCAAAGGAAAACTTTCGGGTTCCATAGAAATAAATAAACACAGAGTTTGAACAACATGAGGTTGAGTAAATAAAGACCACATGTTAATTTCTGGGTGAGCTGTCCCTTTAAAGGTGACATATCATGAAAATCTGACTCTTCCAGGTTTTAAGTGCTATAATCAGGTCCAAGGTGCATCTACCAACCAAGGAAACGTGAAAAAGATTAACCCAGAAACTAAACTAAGTTTCTACTCACAAACTTCCTCTTCAGTTTGACTTTGGGATCGGCGAAGCTCCTCCCCTCCAGCTGGGCGGGTTCAAACTCCGCCTCTCCCAGGTGATCATCGGCCGAGATGCTTTTCCTCAGATACGCCGCCCGCCGGCGGAAATGTGAGAACGGCGACTGAGAGCGCGGCCGAGGGGTGACAGCACCCGGAGCCACGTCTGCCTCATTTTCATCTTCCAGCCGCCACATCTCGCCTGAGGACGGACAGACGGGCACAATTCTGATCACACATCACTGAAATATCACACACGGCATATTTAACCTTATTTTGCCGCTGGATATTCCCAGGCAGCCAGCTAGATCTGTGACTCTCAGATGAGGACGTTAGGGAGCTGTCAGGCCGCTGGAACAGAGTTATTCATGTTTATTAGACTTGAGTCAGTCAAATCTGGGTCAGAGTTTCTAGCAGATATTACGGCCCTCATTTGGCATGATCCCAACATAATGAGCACGTCAAACACGTTGAGGGAGACGGCTGGGATTCGGTGTGTGTGTGTGTTGAAACGGCACCATGCTCCTCTGTTGGCGATGACGGTTGCTAAGCAACTAGAATGGGGAGGAAGCCAAAGACTTTAGGTTTAACATTTGAGAGACAGTGAAAAAATCCTTCACAGAAGCTTTACACAAGAGCAGCTCAGCTGTGAGAATCAGGAGAAAAGCGTAAGAGAGGGGGGGGGATTTGGCCGAGCGGTGCGGGCTGAAGTAAATATGGAGTACACGCAGACGGTGAACGCACTAAACAATCGCACATGGCGTAAAGCTCACACATGTTGTGAATGGAATGTGCCGCGTGGAAGCTTCCTGTTCCAGACGTCGTCCATTCACAACTACACTGCCAGTTCTATCAATTCTGTCTCTGTCTCTCGCTCGCTCTCTGACGTTTTAATCACATTTTTTATTTTTGCTCAGTAGAGCAACTGATGGACAATTGTGCATTCAAATGCTGAAGCTATTCAGACTGAAAGAAAAGAGGATGAATCTTACAAAACATATTGCATTCTAAAATCAAAAGAAAGAAACTAAAAATTATGTTTTGCATGAAGAAAATGCAGCCCATTTTTGGACCAGTAAGAATTTGTGCATTGACATTTTCATGACAAATTTAGCTACTAATTCTTATCACTGTAATACAAAAAAAATTATAGAATTGAATGAAAAAAAAATATTAAAGCAGTAAGATATATTTATTTAAAAATCTAATAAGAATTACAAAAGCACATACAATTATTAAAACTGAAAATATAAAAATAAAAGCCAATTCAAAATTTCTAAATCAAAAGCATCCTAAAATCAAAAAAAAGAAATCTCAAATTATATTTTAATTATAATATATTGACATTTTCATTTTTAGCTACAAATTCACATTTCTGTAATGCAAAACATATGAATATTATAGTATATTATATATTATTGTAATGTGAAAAATTATATATATTATTTATTTAATATAGTAGTATTTGATTTACTAATTTTAATTAATGCTGATTTAATTAACAAAATCAACACATTATAGTAATTGTTATGAATGTAAAATGGGAATCAACATTAAGAATAAATCAAATTATTTTATAGAATTTTATAAAATATTAATATATATAATTATTTTATAATAATTAATATTATTATATAATTAATATATAATAATATATTAAATTGATATATAAAATTATTTGATATAATTTATAATATATAATTAATACAATATTTATAATGTAGAATTTTTTTAAAGAATGTACAAAAATAGGTACTGGCCTCATTTTTGAGGGAAATGAAAACATTGAAAACAAAATCTAAATGTTCTTAATTCAAAAGAAATTATTTTAATTTGATTTCAGGGTGAAATGTGAGCTTTCCATGAGATTCACCCAAGAACAGAGCTTTAATAAAACCAAGAGCAGAGTTCAATAACATATGTTTTGGCATCACGGCTGTGCAGTTGAAATAAACACAAACACACATGCAGTACCTGCAGGAGGCAGCGTACACGCTTCAAGACCACCAGGGCTGGAGGAAACACGCGGGCGCCGTTGACGTTCACAAACGTTCTCTGACTGCTGCACACGGACGGCGGCTGGGGACTGAGGGATGCTGGGTAATGTCCTGGATTTGGCCAAGAGAGGCCTCTGTAGCCGTCGCTCCAAAGACCTGGAGCACAAACAATCAAAACCAATAATACAAATCAATCACAGTCCCATTCATTAAAATGCATGCATTTCTGAAATAAACTCAATAATAAAATAAACAATCAATTCCAAGCAATGCTTGTACTGCATAATGTTTAACAGTGTATGCATGTGTGTGGCTGTGTATTTGAACACTTAACTTGTGATGTTTTCTATGAGATTATTTATGCATATGTTATTTATTGCTATGGTTTAATAATTAGTGCAACTATACTTAATGCATGGAATAAAGTAGTTTTAATGTGCCCTTAAGACAACTTAAACATTCTGTCCTAATCACAGTGTAAAGTTTGCATGCATTACATGAACATGTTTGGATCGGTCTGTCTGTAAGGTTACAGTAATATTAAAAACATTCTTTTTCAAGCATGCAAGATGAAGAGTAACAGCGTGTGGAGATTTGGC